TTAAAAAATCCTCACCTGAGGTTTTGCTTATTGATTTTAGGGAGAGGGAAAGGGAGGGAGGGGGATAGAGAGAGAGACAGGCAGACAGGCATTGATTAGAGAGAAACACGGATTGGTTGAACCAGCAACCTAGGCATGTGCCTTGACCAGGAATCGAATCCATGACCTTTCAGTTTACAGATGACGCTCCAGCCAACTGAACCACCACCAGCCAGGGCCAACCAGCATTTTTTTAAGCACTCATTATGTGTGAAGTTCTGCATAGAAATGTGGAGAGGAAGACAATGTCATTCCTATTTTTCAAGGGTTTATAACCCTGCTTTTGTAACTCACACGTTTGGATATGTTGGTTGGATGGTGACAGTTACTCAAAAAGATTTAAGCAAAAAGAGGATAGTTTGTGACACTGTCAAATCTGGGCATTTTGGGTTCAGGCAGGGCTGGATCCAGGCATTAGCAGTGTTATAGGAATACTATGTTGGTCTGCTGTGGGTTCCCCTCTCAGGCAGGCTCCTTTCTTGGGAGTGACCAAGATGCTCCCTCCTGCCCTCCAGAAGCTCCAGGCTTACATCCTTGCTGCTTAACATCCAGCTTCCCGGCGGCACCAGCATATTTCAAGCTGAATCTTATTGGTTGGTTTGAGTTACATGCTGATTCTGAGTCATTCACTGTGGTCAGAGCTTTGGAAGTATCCAGTCAAGGTGGTGAGGGAGGAGTAGGTGAATTGGGTGACTGGGTCTCTTCACAGACCGAAACAGGCACTTAGGGAAGGAGAAGGTTGGGTGGACAACATTGAATCCATTGGGGTGATCATGGAGTCTTGAGGGCTCAGGAGAGTAGACTCCTGGAGATAGATTTGGAACTTGACAAGGTGGCCAGGAACTTGGTGGCTTTGGGTTTCATGAAAGAAAGCATGGCCCAGTTGTGGGTCTGGAGTGATGCCAACTACTTTCTCCCATAGGTGCTGGCCCAGCAAGGGGAGTACAGTGAGGCCATCCCCATCCTGAGGGCAGCCCTGAAGCTGGAACCTTCCAACAAGGTGAGCAGAATGGGGGTGCCCTGGGAACTTGCCCTATCAGCCTGCCTGGGGTGTCCCTCCTGTCATCTGCCCCTTGTCCTTGCTGTAGCTCTCCCTGTTGGGTTTCTGCCTGAGCAGTGGCATGGGGTAGGTGTCTCAAGGGCCCTAGCCAGCTTGCTGAGACACTTAGGACCATATATAAGTGGGCTGGACTTATTCTGAACCAGGGATCTCAGAAGCTAAAGGTGCTACCAGGTTGGCCAGTGCCATTGTCCCCAGCTTTCTTCCCACAACCTTGTGCTCTGCACCATCTATGGGCTCCCTGGAGGCATGGAGCCAGTAGTCCCCACTTTACTGATGCCAGAGAGGGGCAGATGGAACCCTTGTGTTCCTGTGGCGCCAGTCCAAGTGACCCAGGACACCAGAAAGGCAGAGCACCAGCGATGATGGTCATGTTGGTTGCTGCCACTGCTGCATGCTCTTAGCCTATCTGCCACCCTCCTCTCCCAGACGATCCATGCAGAGCTCTCGAAGCTAGTGAAAAAGCATGCAGCCCAGCGGAGCACGGAGACTGCCCTGTACCGGAAAATGCTGGGCAACCCCAGCCGGCTGCCTGCCAAGTGTCCTGGCAAGGGTGCCTGGGTGAGCTGGGGCCAGTGGGCAGGGAGGTTCCTGCAGGAGGGGCAGGACAGACCACATAAAAGGACTGTCTTCATTTTGCAAACAAACATTGATGTCCTCATCACCTGGGCTGTGTTGGACCATGCCGGTGACACGGGCTGTACCCCTGTGTGACCTGGACTAAAGCAGAAGGTGGAATACAGTCTGTAGGGCTTGGGGTGGGGAGTGATAGTGCTTCCAGAGGGGAAGGGGATGTATCCTGGAAGTGGGGAGATTTGGCTTGAGTTTTGATGCACATGTAGCAGTTTACCAGGAAGTAGGAAAGGCATGGTCAGTCAGGCAGTGGCTTGTTGGAAGGCTGTGTGGGCTGTATTGGTACCTGAGTCCCAAGATATCAGTCTTGACTGCCCTCCAGCTTCCTCCTCCCTCCCCTTTATCTACAGTCCATCCCTTGGAAGTGGCTGTTTGGGGCAACTGCTGTTGCCTTGGGGGGCGTGGCTCTCTCTGTGGTCATCGCTGCCAGGAACTGACTGCCCAGGTGGCCACCATCCTTTCAAGCACCATGGACCCCACCACATGCTCCCTAACTCTCCCAGGCTCCCTGTCCACTACCCTCTCTGGCCTAGCCTCCTCCTTTGGGGCAGGGACAGTGAGGTTTGAGGGTCATGTGGCCCAGTGAACAGGAGGGACTAAGGCCCTATTGGAGGAAAGTGAGGCAGGGCCGAGCCCCCGTCCAGCCCGTAAGGAGGGGGCCCTCATTCCTCCAGACCCAATTCCCACCCCCCCATCCCCCTGGGTTAGGTCTCAATAGGGATCTGTCTCAGTTTCTCCTTCCCAAGGCCTGGGGGCAGCTTTTCCCCCATCCAGTCCCTGTCCAAGTGCCAACCTCTCCTGCCCTGTGTGCTGCCCTCTGTCCAGGCTCTCCCTTACCCCAAGTGAAATAAAGCCTCCCACCCCGCATTCTACTGGCTCTGGAGCCTTCTTTGACCGCCACTTGGGACTGGGCCAGAGGAGGAGTGGAATCCAGAAGAGGATCTCCTCTTGGGCCACAGTAGACCTGTGTTACAGGAAGGAACAGACCTGTGTTACAGAGGGGGAAACCAGCTTGAAGTGGGGTGATGTGCCTAGAGTACCCAGATGTGAACTCCACAGGTGTTCACACTCCCTGTGCTTATTACCCCATCCTGTCTCGTTTCCTTTAACTGAAAATGGGGACCCTGATGGGACCTAGCTGGGGGCTTCTCTGAGACCAACAATTAAAGGGGTCTATAGTTCGGTAAGCTGGCAGCCCTGTGTCTGGGCAGCAATAGCATAGTGAATACAAAGGCTAGAAATTCTGCAGTGAACTGGTTGGGTAGAGGATGTGTTGACGGACTACATCAAGGTAATGAACTAGCTTTCAATTTCTTGGGTGACCTAGTTCTTAGAGACTTTTGGAGAACATGTCAATGCTTGGTGATTTCTCTGTTGTCCCTGGGGTACTATTGGGAGGCTTTGGGAAGTATGCAGTGGAGAAATGCTTGTTACCGAGTAGCACAACCTTTGGTTGTAGTGTTGCTGATTGATGATTGTCCAAGCTTCTCCAAGCCTCAGTTTCCTCATGGGGCAGATTGGTCCAAACCACCATATCCATCCCAAAACACACTCATGGGTCCTAAGCACTGAGCACAGAACCTCAACAGTTCATGGTCAGAGGGTATATAAATGGTAGTGCTGGCTTGGCAGTGGTGGGCAAAACTAACAAGATTACTTGGGTAGGGACATACAGAAAGTCCCTGAACTTCACCTTCTCTTACCTGAAAATCTTCATCCTATGACCACCATCTGTAATTAGATTAAAGGGAGAAAGAAAACAACCCCAGAGTTTTCCACAAGTCTGGAGGCCCATGAGCTTAGGAGGAGCTTTCCCGGGTGAGCTAGCACTTGTCTCAGTTTCCTCACCTGTACAATGAGAGTTTAATAAAATGATGCAGTTTCTGTGGAAAACAGCCTGGCAGTTCCTTGAAAGGTTAAACATAGAATTACCAAATGATTTGGCAATTTCACTCCTAGGTACAGATCCAACGGAAAGTATCCATCCCAAACAGAAACTTGTGTGAATGTCAACAGCAGCTCTATTCATCATAGTGAAAAAGTGGGAACAACCCAAATGTCTATCAACAGACGGTGGATAAACAAAATGGTCAATCCACACAATGGAATATTACTTGGCCATGAAAAAGGAATGAAGCAAAGGTATAGGCTACAACATGGATGAAGCCTGAAAAACATGCTGAGAGAAGCCAGACACACAAGGTCACATGTTTCATTCCAGGATATATCCAGATGTATGGGTAAATTAAAGTGCTGTGGAACTAGGTAATGGTAGTGGCTGCAGAACATTGTGAATATACTAAATGCCACTGAACTTTACACTTTAAATAGATTAATTTTGTAATACTTAAAACGTTTTTTTAAAAAATGGAGTTGGACAACAATGATCTCACAGGGCCTGGACATGTATGATTTTCCACTCCAAAATGTAAGAGAAAGTTTATTTAGAAAGTCGCAGAGGGAGAAGAGGTAAGAAGGGCTTCAGGAAACAAGTTACAGAGGCGAAAGGGTCTTTGGAGCTTAGGAGAAAGAGAGGCAGGGAAAATTCGCCTGGAAGGAAGAGGTGGGGGAAAGAGGAAAGACAACAGCAGGTTTCCCAAAGGAGAGTGTCAGGACTTTATTGTACTAAAAGCCCACTCTTATAACGAGCAAAGTTCACCGGCCTCCTGAATCCCCTAAAAGCACTAAGAGTGGGTGGGGGCGCTGGAGAGACAGCTATCCGCCCACATTAAACCCTACCAGTACAACCCAGCGGTCCACGCGCGCTCGGTTTGCATAGCCACGCCCATTCACCCGGGTAGCTGAGGGCTCCGCCCTCCACGTGTTTTGCGCTTGCTCCCGCCCCCTTCACGCCCTCACTGCGGCTCTCAACAGGCCAAAGCCTGAAGCTTTGGAGACCTCATAAATAATACATCACGTCAGTGGCCGGTAGGCGGGGCTTCGACGGGTTTGGCTGAGTCAAGATTATGAATAATACATATATGAGCGGGTCCTGGAAAGGTGTGCCTGCCGAGGCGGAGTCCTGGAGCGGAAATGACCATTGAGGTCGTCATTCAAGTTTCAAGAATATGCAGAATGCCGGGGCGTGACTATGGGCTTCGTATGCCTGAAAAGGCGTGGCCAACCTCGTCTCATGAATAATAAAGTACGTCGGCGGGCCGCGCGTTGTCGGCGGCCAGATTCCTCGCATCCTGAAAGGGCGTGAGCAGCGCGTCATGAATAATGCAGCACGTCAGCGGGCGGCGGGGCGGGGCGGGTTTGGAGCGCCGTCCCTGGAGTCGGGAAGGGGGGCCGGGTAGCGATGGTCGCAAGATGGCGGCGCTGAGGGAGAATCGGAGCTACGGGCTGTCGTGCGGGCGGGTGAGCGACGGTAGCAAGGTGTCCGTGTTTCACGTGAAGCTCACCGACAGTGCCCTGAGGGCCTTCGAGAACTACCGGGCCAGCCAGGTGAGCGGCGTCGGCCCCGTACGGCCGTCGGGGACGTCGGGGCGCGGGCCGGCCTCGCGCGCCTCTCGCCCGGCGTCCGGGCCTGGGGGCGCGGGGTCCGGCATTCGGAGTGCTGTTTGTGGGTCCCTTAGCCGGCATGGCGCAGAGAATCATGTTTCTTCTCGGCCTTGGGAGGCGACACTGGTGGGCGGTTTGGGCCAGCGGAGGGGTCCGAACTCTCGCGCCTGGTCCGGAGAGCGTTTGTGTGGCACCTGGGGGTGTCTGGTGGCCTTCCCTTGTCCACCCGGAACCGAACTGTTCACCTCGCCGGGGGAGGGGTGTGTGGTTGGGGCTTCTCCGGCAGTGTTTCTTTCTGGGTGGGTAAGTGGGGCACTGCTGTCGGGGTGCCTGTGGGGTTCTGTTCCGTTTGTGTGCGGGGGCAGTCTTTGACTCTTTCCAGTGAGGACCCTGGAGGTGAGCTCACTCTTGGTTTTTGGGAAGGAGAGTTTGGGTGGAAACTGACAGCTTGTTTGCAACTCCTCCCTCTGCCTCCCCCACCCCCCAAACACACACCAGGTGACCTTGTTTCACTGGACATCTTCAGAGAGTGGTAGTGTTTTGTGGGGAAGAAGCTGCGAATGTAGGGGGTCGCTGACTTGGTGCTTTTCTCAGGTTGAGAGCCGGTGGTGGGCACTTGGGAGGGAGCTCTGGCCACAGAACCTGGCCGCTGACTTTCAACTTCTCAAGGGCCTATTTGGGCCCATCTGGGGAAGTTCAAGACGTTTCATTTCTGCCACCTGGTTCAGGACAGGCGATGGGGAAGAGGCTGCTGTGCACCTTCTCTTAGGCCTGACTTTGGGGCACATCTGGGGCTGTGGTCAGACCTGCTTCTTCCCATTTCTGTTTGTATCATGGCGCCCTCAGTCTCTGTTGGGCCAGAAGTTGCAGGTGCCTGGTGATCAGGTCCTGAGGGGAGTGGTTTGGGAGCTCTTTTCTGCCTTGCCTGGAAAGTGGGGGCTTCATAATCGGAGGTGGCTGAGGAGGCCTCCCTCAGCGCGTTGTGTGTTTGTGTTTACCAGGGATGAGGGGGCCTTGGGGCGGGTGAGGAGAGAGACTAACTAGGAAGGAATGTGGCTTTCTTCCTGCCCCAGACTTGTTCAGCACCATTAGCTAAGCTGGGAATTTCTTCCCCTGTTTCATTACTACCACTTCCTGGGTGCCCACCCTTCCCAAGCTTCCCATCTTTTTGGGCAATATCCCTCCTGTCCTGGTGTCTCAGTTTCCCCTTAATAGAAGTGAGACCTCATCTTTTTTTGTAAGTTGTCATCTTGTCAGAAGGATTCCCCAAGGTGAAGCTTAGGCACTCCTTGCAGGGGAGGAAGAGGAGAAGGTAGGGAGCACAGTGGTAGACTTGAGCTTCCCTTCCCTAAGGAATTCCCTTCCTGAGTCTGACTTGTCCTGCAGGAAGGCAGGCTTTTCTAGAGACAGCTTAGGGAGAGCTCATGAGTCATGTAAATAAGATGAACTTGGTACCTGGTCACTTTGGGTTAGGAGCCCCGCCTTCCCTGCCATGCTGCCCTCACTTGATCCATTGGTCCGGAAGGCCTGCCTGTGCATCCACCTCATGCTGTCACACTGCTATTTTTAATTTAGGGTGTTGGTTACATCCCCTAACTAAGCTAGATCTTCCACATGTGAAGGTGAAGGTAACTGCACACTCAGGCTGGTCCCATGTGGAGCCCAGCTGTGTAGGTTAGAGTCAGTCACTAGGAGGGGCTCCCTCAAAGAACTTCAAGCTGTCCTGGCCAATTTGGCTGTCTGGGCTAAAATTTGAGGGACCCAAACTTGTGTTTTGCTCAGAAACAGTCTGGTAATTTAAGTGACTTGGCAGTTTTTTTGTATTTAATCATACCCATTGGGCACTGTGGTAGACTGGGCTAAAATGAGGGCAGCTCAGGTGCTCTTTTTTGCTTTTGGGTGCTGGGCATGGGGCAGGTGACTTGAAGAACTTGTTCGTGTGACCAGAACAGTATATTGGTTGTCAACAAAACCTCAGATGTGCAGTTTTGTCAATAATGCAGAGTTTTCTCTTTTCTCACTTTGTGGTTATAATATGGGTTTGCCAATGGCAACTTGTGGAGAGGGTTTTATTTTTACTTTTCAATTGTGAAGAGGTTTGTCCTAATTCAGAAGTAGCAGGGGACGGGAGAGAAACTTCCTGTAATCCTAGCTGTTGGAGCGCCTCCCGTACAAGTCCCCAAGATTTCTCTCTCCAGAGAGATCTGAAGTCTGAGCTGCCTTGAGCAGACCTTGTGGCCTGCCTGGAATTTGGTGGAAGGTGAAGATGTGGTAATACACACAGCTGCTGGCCATCCAGACTTGGGCTTTGTGGGGTTTCTCCTTGGATATAAAAATTCAAGAGAGTCCTCAAGGAGCCATTCTTGTGGATCTTCTATTTTGCTGTGATGGGTTACTTCCAGTAGAGACTACAAAGGAGGAAGTGTGGACACAACCCATTCTTCCAAGATAGCCTCACGAGCCAGCTCAGAGAAGCTCAGTGAAGCTCAGTGGTCCCCCAACCTCAAAGTGACCCTCCCTGGAGCACCTGCCTCAACCCCTTGGGCATTTTATTGTTGGATTCAGTGGGCTCCATTGCTGGGTGACCTTTTCCTCTTATTAAGGGAGGAAATTGAGGGCCCAGGGAGAGGCCTAAGAAGCATGGGGATTGCAGCCTGTTTAGTTGAATCTCACCTCTACCTGCATGGGGTCTTGGACCAGTGCCTGATCCTTGCCAGTCCAGATCTTTTTTCTCACAGCACTGAGAATCCCAGCACCTGGCTTTCTCTGAGTCCTGGCTCCTCCTCCTCTCATGGCTGTGAGGGTCCCAGTGCTTGGCCCTTTCTGAGCTCCATATCTTCCTCCTCCCTGGGCTGTGGGGATTCTTTTGGCATGTGTGCACCCTCAGCACCACCCTGACTCCTCATATGCACTTGGTGCTTCTACTCAGGGCCAGTCCCTGCCTGCAAGTTAGAGTGGAGCCCTGGAGACAGGGGGCCTGGACTCTTGCAGCTACTTCAATTTGACTGAGCGCCTGGTCTGTGTAGGGCCACTACTGAGGAGCTGGACATTCACAAGTGACCAAGTCAGGCTCCTAGTATCATGAGCTGACATTGTAGAAGCAAGAGACAGATAATGAACAGGGCAGCACAGAAATCAACACAAAGAACTTGTCAGTGGTCATTGTCAGGAAGGAAATAAAATGATGCAACATTGATGGCATGGGGCGGGTGACATGAAAGGATTGAGAGAGATGCTTCTAGGAGATGCCAGAAGCATCTCCTGAGGTCTGCTGGGTGAGGGGTCCAGGCAAGCTGGGCACACAGGCCTTGAGACATGAGGGGCTGGTAAGGTAATTGGGGCAGGGGAGTCATCCAGTAATCTGTGGAGGGCGGCTGCAGGGATGTGTCCTCAGAAAGGGTGTATGCGGGGAGGGGGGGGCGCGGTATAGGAAGCCTGTAGTGAATACACCACCACTGTTCTGGAGCTGTACTGGGTGCTGCTTGCCTGCTGTGCAGGGGGCGGCTGTGTGGATGTCAGCCTGGGCACTGGTGGCAGGAGGCGCCTTAATTTAGTTTCTGATTCCCTCATACAGCAAGGCCCTAGGAGGCGGGCTCATCTCCTTTTCCTGGGGGGGCACCTCACTTGGCCATGAGCAGGGCAGCTTCTTGCCAGCCTTGTCTGCTTTATAGATGGACAGCCTTTAGGACTAGGTGGCTCTGCCCCTGCTGGCTGTGGGCCAGGCCCCTGTAAACCTTTCATTCTTTTTTTTTTTTAAATAAATATTTTATTTATTTTCAGAGAGGGGAAGGGAGGAAGAAGAAGAGGAAGAGAAACATCCATTCATGTGAAAGAAACCATCAATTGGTTGCCTCTCGCATGCCCCCCACTGAAGACCTGGCCCATAACCCAGGCATGTGCCCTGATGGAATTGAACTGGTGACCCTTTAGTTCTCAGGCGGGTACTCAATCCACTGAGCCACACCAGCCAGGGCAACCCATTGTTTTTGACAACACTGCCAGGAGGGCAAGCTTATTGTTCCCACTGTGCTTTGGGGGCAGTCAGGCTCTGAGGAGCAGTGTCGCCAGCCTGACATCAGTTAGACTGTCCTTACTGGCCAGGCTGCCTCTCAAGTTGCGAGGGTGCTTGAGCCACTGGGACACAGCTATGAAAGGGAGTCACATCATGGTCTCGAGTTTTAGTTAAAATGCCAGGGTTCCATGCTCCTGTGAATATTTGTGATGTGAATGGCCTGCAAATGTCTGAAATTGCTGTGTCTGTTCTGTGCCCCCTCCTCCAAAAAAAGCTTAAAGATGACAGTAACCATCAACTTGGGATCGAGGCCCATATGCCAGCACTGGCCTGAGCTGCACACTTTACTTCCTCTGGTCCTCTGTCAGCCTTGTGTCAGAGGGGTTAGGAAAATGGGTGGAGACTCCAGGAGATACAGTCCCTGGGAGAAACCTGCCAACTGGGCCTGGCTGAGGACCAGGTGGACTCCAATACCCCCTCTAGAGGGCTGTGGTGGGCCCTGTGGGCAGAGAGGAACAGGTTGGCTCATGGGTGTCAGAAGTGTGTGTCAGAAGCATATAGGGGTTCAGTTAGCTTGTGTGTTTCAAGGTGGTTTGGATGGGGCGAGTCACTCCCAGAATGCCCATGTCTCATAGATTCTGGAGAGGGTGAGCACCCCCAGTGTGGGATAAATGCTGGTGGTTTCTACAGGAGACTGCAAGGCTGTGTGAGGGTTCAAGCCTGCCTGCTGTCCTGATCCTTGATCAGACCTTTGGCTGCATACCAGTCTCCAAGATGGCTGTATGTAAACAGCAGGCTGCTCTCTGAATCCCACCCTCCCTTGACTCTGCTGCAAGGCCAGAGTTCATTACTCTTGAGGCAGTTTTGACATCACGCTAGGATTGTGACATCGCTGGTGAATACTTGAAAAACAAGGCCACTACTTTTCTCC